GTTTGCTCTATTCTGCATCCAATGCTGGGTTCAACGGCACTCCCATTCATGTTGTAATCCGGCGCATACCCAAAGTGGTCCGTGTTCTTCAAAACAATTTTGCTTTGCCTTTGTGGCGCGCTTTCACGCCCATGCATACCCCATTTTAGCACGGGCCGCCTCTTCATTCTTGGAATGACTCTCTTCCTGCTGCAGCGGCGTTTCGGCTCGACATACTTTAGGTAGCGGCCAGTGGCAGGGGGAGGGGTGGGGGGGCGGTGAAGGGGCGCGGGCGATTGAGGGTCTTGCCGGCACCGCAGCCTCTTGCACTTACTGTAGCTTGGTTCAGTCGGCACGTCGTTGACAGATCGATAGACAGCAAGCAGAGCCTAGTTTCTGTCATCTCAGTTCCAAACCTGGCGCACCGATTGGTGGACGAACTCGCTGCAAGCCGGGTAAACCCCCGGGGGGGGGAGAAGGACCAGCTAAGCACAGCAAAGCCCCGCAGGCCTCATTGCGTCTGCCGCCCCTCACCCGTCCAGGCGGTCTCCCCAGCGACGCGCAACAGCCAAGGATCTTTCGATTGCAAATGCCTTGCTGACGCCAGAGGCCCTCCGTACCCGTTCAGCTTACCCTGCGGGCCTGGTGGCTCAGGTTGGCAGGCCACATCTTTTGCAGTCCGAAGCGCCAGGATGTTGGCCAGGCGGTCGACGCCCTCACGGCGGACCGGGACCCCGAGTCCCCGAGGATGCCCGTCAGGGGACAGCTGTCGGGAATGAGCCCTTGAGGCAGCCCCCGTCGGACATGATCTTGGAGCTCCAAGGTTCGTGGTGTATCCGGCTGCAACCGGGAGCGTCCTTGCACATTCAGTCGGAGACACTTGCACCTCCAGGTACGTCGCTGGCAGACAGGTGTTTAGCCCAGTCGGATACTCAGCAGCCCCATGAGGGGGGTCGGTCAACGGTGGCTGGCCCTCCGATGCTACTCCGGTGAGGGAGGGCTGCCTCTGTTTAGGGGCCCAAGTGCGGCTTGAAGCGCACCCACACCACCCTGGCCCGCGGCTGACATACGTCATCTGCCTATCCTTGATTCTGCTAATATGTCTTCTTATGTGTTGCAAGGTGGCCATCGGGGCTGCCCGGGCTGCCGGTGATCTACTCTGGGCCCACGCTTGATTGTTGCTGCCGGAGCCTACGTCTAGCACTGCACCAGCCTGTCCTCCGTTGCGCTTCTGTCCTCCGGCGAGGTGACGCACGCTGGGCGGCCGCTCGCTGAGCCGAGTACGGGAGGAGGAGGGGGGCCCACGCACATGTATGGAGCGCTCACCGCCCCCATGCTCGCTTAGCGGCTGACATACGTCATCTGCCTATTTGCATTTGCTGTTTGTCAGGCTATTTGCTGCGAGGTGGGGCGCCTGTGCACCCCCTCCCCAGTTAACCTGTGCAGCTGCTGCGATCACTCTGCCAGGCGATGCGTTGGCAGACCTTGAAGTACCTAGCTCCTTCTTTCTGTACTGGGAGTGGGGCAGTTGCTGCCATCTCTTCGCGGTTTGCCGTAGGCTTTGACGGTGCCCACCTTGGCGAGGTGCGCCGTTGTGTGGTCCGCCTCCTACGGTAGTGCTGTCAGGTGGTGGCCGCCGAGCCAGCTGCTGGTCGCTTGCCCCTTGGTGCCTCGCCTTGCTGTCGATGATTGGCCTTGCTAGTTGCTCTGCGTCCGTTTTGCCACTTGCATGGCGGCCCCCAGGCTAGGATTCCAGAGGGTAGCTTGTGACATACGTCGCTCGCAATTCTTCGCTCCATGGCGGCACCTCCAGCGTCATCGGCTGGGCGCACAGGAAGGCAGGCCCTCGCTATCAATCTTGCGGAGCTCCCTTCTGAGCCGGAGTCAGAAGGAGAGCCGACGGCTTATCCTGGTGCGGGCCCCTGGTGGCCGGCACACGGCCCCCCGGCGCCGGTGCCAGTCAATGAGCCGCCCGGGGAGCGCATCCATAGGGAGGCCACTGACATGTACCACCGTATGGTCAGTCGCGGATACCCTTGCGAGACGCGGCATTTTCATGAACCTAGCTGTCACCTGTGTCGAACCTGATGCAATTGCCCAGGGGTCCATGGCCATCTATGTCCGCCCACTTGCACCGTGGCAAGGCGAGCACCCCTGGACGGTCTACGTGAGTCAGGACTTAGCAGACGACGGCTCGGCGGCCGAGGAGGATGCCGGGCCCGCTCAGCCCGCTATTCCCGCACCCAAGCCGAAGACCAGACAGAAAAGGTCGCGACCGGCCTAATGCGGCTGGCCCAGGTCACGAAGGCCACCTTTATAGCGCCGCTGGTCTTTTCTTCTGCGATGGCGGTGCGACGCCCGGGTGGCTCGCTCTCCTCGCGTGCCAGTGCTCATTTTGATGCACCGATCGCCTGCGCGATACAAACAAGTGACCACCTTCGGTAGGAGCGGCGGATCTATGGTGACTTTTGCCTGCTCCTGCATGCTTAGGCCATCGCCTGTGCTTCGAATAGTGGGGCTGTTGCCTCAGAGAAAGGCCCTGGCATGCTTTTGCAGTCGTTGTTGTCCAGTGTGTCTGCCGCCTGCAGCCCCGTGCCTCGAACCGAGCCTGCATGGCTTAGGGGGCGGCGACATACGTCGCCAGCCAGGTGAAATGGCCCGCACCAATGGGCCCGCGAGCGGCGGCTTCGGGGAGCGGGACACCAGTCCGACTGCTTGCGAGAGCCGCTTGCCCCGGGGCGCAGTCGAAAAGCACATCAGGACCGTATCCCGTATGTGTGCTGTACTCCTGGGTGTCATCGCTCCTTTCACAAGGGCCGACACCGGCACTGCTGCTCCTTATGCAGTATAGGGGCCAACACAGGATAGGTGCGAGAGGCACTACGCGCGGCTGATGCGACGGACTCGATTGGCTTTGTCTACATGCTGCTTCCCGAGCTGCCCAAGAGTCGCTGGCTTCGGGCACACTCGATGCTGTGCTCTCTGCGGAAGCACGAATTGGGAGGTGCATACTCCATAGTGCGAGCAGCGCCAGCACCGCCTGGCCGGTCCGCACGCAAACAGCCCAACGCCCTTGCCCGGCGAAGAGGTGCGGAACCGCTCCTTGCATGGTGCAGGGCCAGGGCCCTGCGGTGGTTCGGGAGCCGCCCTATGTAGCCCACGAGGCCTGGATCACGAGCATGTATGTAGCCGAGGCTGTCACACCGGCTCCGGTGTGCCATGTGCGCCTTGGATGGGACACCTCACCAACGGCTTCTTTGAGAGAGGCGGGTGGAGCTGCTGACCTCGCCCGTGGACCGTCGATGCAAACCTTCTACCGGGCGGGGCCCGCTTCGGCCCGGCGCGGCAAGCCACGGCCTACGTCAGTTCGATTGACCTTGAGGTCATGGATTGAGGCCCCGGAGCCTCGGCCCCGCCGGCACAGAAACAAATGCGGCGCGTGGCTCGCACGCTGTGTACACTAGTCTCCTCGCTGTGCACCTTCGGAGACATACGTCGATGTCCATTTTGTGACCCCTGGTCGTCCCTCCCCTGCTTGGCCCCATGGCGAGTGCGTGGAATGAGATGCGTGCCAACGTCAATATCCCAGGCTATGACATGTTCCAGATTACCTCATCTAATGACATCGACCCGCTCTTTGTCACTTTCGCGCTGACCCTGGCATCCCAGCGGGGTGCGAACTGCGTGGTCTTCGAGGGACGCATTCGACGGGCATGGGTGAAATTTCTTCCAGATGATCCCAGGCATGCGGACGCCGTATCCCGCACGAGACAGGACGAAGCCATGCGGCATGGCTACCAAGCCTTCATCCGCGAGGGCGCCGAGTGACTGACGGCAGGCCATCGGCCTAATCGGGGTTTTTGGAGGCCGTCAGTGCGAGCGCTGATAGTCCCTTAATATCTTGAGCGTGAATTTTCTTGAAAAATCGGGCCTGGATTTTTAAAGAAAATGGCTGCCAAAAGTTTTCTGTAGTGTGAGCGCCAAGTGTTGCTATATTGCATCCTCTTGTCACCCGCGCTCGTCATCTCAAGGTATCTCAAAGCCGGTTTTGCACAAACGTCAGTGACACTATGCTGGACTTCACTGAACAAGCCACAAGTCTTGCACATGTAAGGTTGCAGAAATTTTTCTTTCCCCGGGTCGTCCCATGGACTTCGGCGACGCCCTCGCCGCCGGTTCTTCAGGCCGTTCCGAAGACAGCTCTACCAGCACCCGCGAGCTCCATAGCCAGCACATTTACGAACTCCAATTGGAGGTCAACGCCCTCCGTGCTGAAATCCAAACTCTCAGGTCCGCATTGCAAGCTCTGGAAGAGTCCCTTGCTCGTGCCTGGGTGAACCAGACCGGCCACCACCAACGTCTCTCGTGGCTCGAAGGGATCATTCAGAGCTTGCGGGCTGCCTGTCGCGTATTTCTTGAGCCTGGCGTGCAGCCTGCCTCACCTTAGGCCATGAATACCTTTAGTGCCAGCATCTTGCAGCAACTTGCTGGTGTCACCCGCGAGCACCTCGACGGTGCCTTGCCTCCGGCGCAGGCCACTGTTGGGCCCCCTGAGCTTCCGTTTGCACCTGTGCCCGATCTTGGGGATGCCTTTCCTGCAAATCCATCTCCTGCATCTGCTTCTGCGGATAACTGGGGGTTTGTAGGATTTACTGGTGACTTCGAAGGGTTTACCGATGACCTCGCAGCGCCTGTCTCTGAAGTCGAAGTCCAGCAGCAAACTCACGAGTTTCCACCTTCCCCTCCCGTAGGGTTTAACCCCAATCACTTCGAGGCCCATTTAGCATCCCTCTGCGAGCCAGATGAGCAAGCCCCTTCCCTCTCCCTTTTAGGGTCGGGAGATGAAAACACTGCTTGGTAAGAAGATGTTAGGGCCATGAGTGAGTCACATTTTTCATTGGTGCCAAGCGCCAGCAAAAGAGACTTTGGAGAAGAGGTCCGTCCTGGTAGGATTGCTCGTGCTGTGGGCGATGAGCGCTCACGTACTGCCGTGGCATCTCCTGCCCTGCCTTGGGAGAGAGGAGTCTTCAGAGCCATCTTTGGGGATGAGGGCTTGACTAATCCCTTTGATAACCTTGTGCTTAAGATGCCTGGCCCATTAGTCCCAGCACATGTGCCGCCGGCTGAGCCAAAGATCCCTGAGCCTCCCATACCTTCAGCTGACATCGCGAGCAGGGCATTCAAATCCTTCAAGGATGTACATCCGAGCGACGAGCGTGATATGGTCATGGACCGAGCGGTGTGCAAACTGCAGCACATCATTTGCCGCACCGATGTTGACCGTTTGTCACCTGAACTTGCACAAGCAGCCTCTTCCAAAGATGCAACAGACGAAGTGTTTGGCATTGTGTCTGCTTGTGTAGGTCTTCGTAGTCCTCACACGGTTGTGAAGCGCGCCAACGCGATCCTTGCATACTTGAGATGGTGTGACAAGGAAGGTTACGAGAAGCCATTTTGTGAGGATTCTGTGTGGAGCTTCATTTCCTACTTAAAGAAAGAGAAGGCAGCTCCGTGCAGCCTCCCTCATTTCAGCTTTGCGCTTTGCGAACTTCGTTTTAGGGCTGAGTGTGTCCGAGGTTCTTGCGAGCCGTAGGATTCTGGGCCTCAGTGCCCAGCTGGGTGTCAAAAAGAAAGCGACCAACCGAGCCCGGCCTCTCAAAGTGTCAGAGGTTCGCTTCATGCATGGCGTGCTAGAGGACGAGAGTGCACCAATCTGGGACCGAGCCATCTGTGCCTACCTTCTTCTTGCACTCTACGCAAGAGCCAGACACAGTGATCTGGTTCTTGTAGAAGAAGTGATAGCAGACTTTGATCGCCAGTGCAGCGGATACCTAGAGATCCGCCTCAGATTCCATAAGACGGCACAAACCATTGCAAAGAAAAATGATTTGTTGCCGGTTATAGTTTCAAGCAAGGGCATCGTGAAAGGCGACTGGCTGGGGTTGGCTACTGATGTATTTGAGCGTGTGGGCCTCACCTTGGATGGGACTGTCGGTGCGGGCCTCTTCAGTAGGCCATTTAGGCCCGGTGATACTGCCCCAGGTCGACGAAGCCTAAGGTCGTCGGAGTGCACAACCATGTTGAAAATGGTCCTTGAGCGGGCCGGGTCAGATGTGTCAATGGTCACCTCTCACTCGTTGAAGAGAACCCTGCTTGATTGGGGCTCCAAGTTTTGTCTTGATGACGGGATTTTGGCTTTGCTTGGGCGTCACAGTAAGTGTGTCAAAGGAAGCGTGCCCGTCTATGCTAAGGAGGAAGCCTTGAAAGCTGTTAGGGCTCTTGAGCCTATGTGCCAAGCAGTGGCCGCGGGATCGTTCCACCCAGATGCTGCCCGAGCCTTGTACTTTACGGATCCCCCAGCGCCAACTGTGGTGCCACAAGCGCCCGAGTTCAGGGCGGCTGTCAAGGCGAAGGTTGAAATCATCAATGACTCAGCGTCCGAGCGGGCTGAGTCCGAGGGGCAGCACTCTTCAAGTGGCAGCGAAAGCAGCGATTCCGAGTCACAAGACGACTCCGACTCGTCGTCCGAGTCAATTGCGCCGATCAAAGCGCCCCGCCTGGAAATCGAGCAGTGGGATGCCGCTGACTGTGCGGCCAATTCCAGGACCAGGACCCTTCACCTCTTGAAATTTGTGTCTGGAGGTGGAAATCTAATCGCCGCGTGCGGAAGGACCTCAGAGGTCATGGTTCAAGCGGCGCAAGCACATATGAGTTTCCGGAGGTGCCGCGCTTGTGTGCGGATTGGGAAGCGCTGAAGGCTAGATGCCGACTTTCCGCCTTTTTGGCGAAGGGCGAAGTGCCAGGACCTAGAAGGTCTTTGATTGCGATTCGAGTACAGTTAAAGAGTGATCGTCTGCAGTGGGACATGTTGTTGCCATGGACAGTGAAGCGCGGCAGTGTTCTGAATTAGACTCTGCTTGACTTGCATTTTTGTGAATGCAGTGCGAACATTTGAGTTCTGCAGTATTGGCCGAGGATAAAACCTGTTTTGATCATGTCATGAAGTTCATGTTGTGTTCTTCTCGCTTTATCTTAGATCGAATGATGCTCTAATTGCTTTCAGCTGCTGTTCAGGTACCTCGAAGTTTTGACGTGCACAGTGGACTGTCCGAAGCTCCTTTTGCTCGCCATGTCCTCGTTATAATCGATAGCGGTGCACACTTTAAAAGGCGTGCGGATGAGGTCGGCCTCAGCAGTGCCGGGTGGACGATCCTTCAGGCCCTTGGCATTACCTCTGTAGGTAAGGCGGCGTACACCATCACGTCGCCAGGTGAGCCAGTCACAGAACCCATATTCCGAGATTGGGTTGCCGACAATGCTGCAGGTATGACTCTGGGTGATCAATCATGCTTGAAAAGGCTCGTGTTCGAGTCCCAGACTCTGGTCGTTGCTGAGTTGCGCGACCAAGTATCCGGGTCCCAATCATCTGCCCCTCGTCGTGTTCCCGAGGCTGAGCGCGACCGAAGACTGAATGATCTTAGGGCGGCCCTCCCAGGCATCACGCTGGAGGGCGTGAACATGCCAAGCAATGCCCTGTTGGATTCGTGTTGTCAGCAAGAGCGAGACAACTTGCTTAAGTACATCCCGCCTGAGAAGGCCACGAGCCGCACCCATGAACTCACGAATCCAAGACCGACCCATCAGGCGCTGCAGGTCGAAGCATCCAAAATAGTTCTCAAGAGTGACGCTGATGCCGTTGAGTATCAACCGGTCAATGCGCTCCAGACCATGGAGGCCCTTCGGCGACGAGGTTTGGCCATGGTGTTTGCACAGATGATTTCATATGATGCCTACGATCGGTATGTGAATCGTCTCTTTAACCACCTGTCCCGTGACCCGCCGCCAGGGCTCAATCGCGTGAATGTGACACAATTGGTTAACGCTGACAAGCAGGTGTTTGCACTGCTGGCCGAATGGGGTGTCAAACCAAGGAGGGATATACCGCAGCCGAGTATCCCCTTGACCGAGAGATGCACCGCGCTTTGGAATCCTACGAGGTATCCATTGCCCTTATGCACCAGACTCCCCAAGGGAAGTTCCCGTTCAAGATTAACCGCAAGCGTCATCCCTCTCGGCCTTCAACCCCCGATCCTCCTACGAAGCTCCCTAAAGGCAAAGGCCGAGGCAAAGGTGCCAAAGGTGGTCCTGCGATGCCCAAGGAGCTTGTTGACCTGAAGGCCAATGCCACCACGCCTGAGGGTAAGAGCATCTGTTACGCGTTCAACTTGAAGGAGTGCAAGCGCACCGACTGCCCTCATCAGCATGTTTGTGCCAGGTGTTTCCAGCCACACTCGATCCGCAAGTGTGCTGCCGCCGGCGCTTGAGCGCCTTCGATCCCCTCTGAAGCAGTTTTGCACCGTGATTCACTCTTGTCTGAGCCTGCCGCGTCTCTTGTCGCAACTGGAGACCTGGCTGATGCATGCAATCCCATATCCCCTCCTTGTGAACAGCACGCCCAAACCTTGCTTTCCCGCGGTGCCTTGTGTGCTGCGGATGTGTTGGGCTTGGTCTCTTTTCTGCAACCCGAATCACCTCGCTTCCCTGGTGAGTTTAGTTGGGCCACTGGAGCCTATGTGCATGGCGGCATAGTCGGCCTCCGCCACAACCTCAATCATTTTCCACTTTCGTCTAAAGTCTTGGCGAGCTTTGTTTCGAATACATTCCCACAATTGGAGTTTACCTCCATCGTGGTTTTAGTTAACACCCTCACCCCTGCGCACCAAGATCTCAACAACCATTTGGGTTTCCCCAATGCTTTGATTCCGCTTAGTAAGTTTGAGGCCGGTGGCCTTTGGATCGAGGGAGCTGGTGAAGAGGTTTGTCCTGACCCCGGGCATCCCGATGCCAAGGGACATGTTCTGCAACTGCATGAGCCGATCCAGTTCGATGCGCACCGGCTGCATGCGACCTGCCCGTGGACAGGAAATCGCACTGTGCTAGCAGCTTTCGTAATCAATGATTTCCACAAGTTGGATGCTCAGCACCGCCAGCTTCTTCAGCACACTGCCTTTCGCTTGCCAAGCCTGTCTACTGGCGAGCTCCTGCCTTTGCGCCCAAGCATCGCTTCACGGTTCCCTTTGTCGGGGCCCAAGGTGTTGATCACGTGGTCGTGGATCATGCTGCCTGTCCTGTGCTGTTGGCCGATCTGACTACGCAAGAGGGCCAGCGTTTGACCATGATGTGGCTTTCCAGCCCTCATGTTGTCGGTGTCTTCATCGCTCCACCGTGTCGCACCAGCTCTCGCGCCCGGGAGATTGCACTCCCTGGGCCTTCTCCCGCCCCGCTGCGATCACTCACTTTTCCCGACGGGCTGCCCCATCTATCTGGTCTCAACCTGGTGCGCGTCAACCGGGCTAATCAGCTGTACCTTTACGACTACCATCTGTGCTGAGGCCCATCACCGCAACCTCATCATTGCCGTGGAAAATCCGCGGAGCAGTCTCTACTGGTCCACCAGCTTCTGGGCTGCTGCGGCCTCCTTTTGTCCTATGCATACTGATTTTCAACACTGTGCCTTTGGCGGTCGCCGGCCCAAGTGGACTCGCCTTTGCCACAACCACCAAGCCTTCCATGCTTTGCATCGCGTCTGTCCGGGCGGTGCCTGTGCTGCCCAACATTTGCCGTGGGGTCGTTCTGAAGACGGCTCCTTTGCCACCGCCGGTGAAAGCGCTTACCCGCCGCAGCTAGCCACCGCCATCGCTCAATGCTTAGTTACTTTTCTGCCTGAGGCCGAGCCCTCCCTTGCAGCCATGAGGGCCACTTCCGGCCTTCAGCCCAAAGCTTCGGCGGTGCCGCCCCTTGTCCCCGAGCACAAAGCTGTGCTTGTGATGACCGGCCCAAGTGATGCCACTTCCTTGCCGACCCTTCGCGCCCGACTGCCCGAGCCGTGGTCTGACTCGCGCTTCGCGCCTGCTGGACCCGTGCCAGCCCACAGTCAATTACTCCGAGCGGATAAGAAGGGAAGTGATCGACTTGAGTTGGCCTGGGGCATATCTTGGTCTCCAGAAGAGTTCATACATAAAGCGGTTCAAGCGGGACATCCCAAAAAGTTTGACTCGCTACTGCCTTCCGCACTGAGCCACAGCATAGACGTAAATGCAAAAACAACGCCGGCCGATAGAGCCGGCCTCAGAGCCGAATGGTTTGCAAAGTGGACCAAACGTGCGGCTGAACTTTCGGGGGACGAAAAGAAGCTCAAGAGCTCCCTCCCCGAGTACGCCAGGAAGATCGTCCTACCAAAAAGGATTTTATTGTGGCGTGAGATTCTAGAGGATCTCAAATATCCTGACATTGGAGTGCTGGACGAAATGCTTGAAGGAGTGCACTTGACAGGTCAGACCCCTTGCACAGGGGTCTTTCCTGGGGCCTTTAAGCCAGCAAAAAGGACTTCGGAACAGCTGCGCTCCAAAGCTAGTGAGTCCCGCCAGAAGATCATCGATGCGATCAAATCGCAGGGTCACCTGGATGAAGCGCTAGAGCAAAAGGTCGACGAAGAAGTGGAACTCGGCTGGCTGTCCGAGCCGATAGACCCGGCCGATTTGCCGGAAGACGCCACAATCAGCAGGAGGTTTGCGATCGAGCAGTCAGGTAAGATTCGCTTGATAGACGACCTGAGTGATAGTGGTGTTAATGGGTCTGTCCAAACCACCGAGAGCCCCAAACCTCAATCCCTTGATGTGGTGGCCGCCATGGCCTTGGCCTGTCTTAGACAGCTGCCTGGGACTCCCATGCTAGGGAAGACGTTCGACTTAAAGAGCTGTTTATTATTTTGCCTCCTAGGAAACCCCATGCATTTTATCATGATTTGCTTTATCGTATTTCATGCACTCATGTGTTTCACATCGTGATTGCGCTATACTCCGCAGGCGTCTTTGAGGATTCAAAACATTTTCATGGTAGCGGAGCTTGGGAAAGCCCAAGCTTCGAGACACGTCTCGGGGCTCTCTTGCACATTGCGTTGCGAAGTGCGTTCGGGGAGCTCAGGCTTCGGAAAGTTTGTCCTGGACCTTTGGGGATTTCTGTTTCCGTTAGGATCTAGGTAGGATCGCAATCCCGGCGCAGACCGGACGAGCCATTGCGTGCTCAGACAGAGCAAGGCCACGGCGTCTCTTGCTGCAGTGGAGGAAGTGAAAGAGAGATTGCACAGCCTTTACGTTGAGCAGCTTTGTGAAAGGCCCCGTCCCGAGGGCAGATCCGGTTCTTCTTGGGGTAAGATCTTATCGACTTATAGAGTTGCTTTTGAGCGGAGACTTGAAGAGCTGCATACAGTTGAGTGCGTTTGGAAGTTTGCGACCAAGTGTTTGAAGAAACAACATTTGAGAGAAGTTTTTGAGGCATTCGCACCTGAAGACGTTGCTGAGAATTGCATTTCGGAGGAGTTGCAACAAGCTTCGTTACATCCTGTGGAGGAAGGCCCTAACTTCGAGCGTGATCTTCTTGCGAGCAGTGCTGATTTGCAGGAGCTTTTGAGAGCTAGTGCTGATTGTGAGCTGCCAAGTTCTTCAGCTGAGCCGAAGCGTGCATTCAAGCGTCGATTGCAGCAGCAGGACTCTGTGATTGAGTTGGATTAATTTCCTTGAATTTCTTGATCAGACAGAGAAGAGATGGATCAACAAGGTCAGAATGTGCATGAGGGGCCGCAGTTGCCCCAGCAGCCGTCAGGCAGCGCAAGTGTTGAGCCGCCAGTGGCTCAGAACCCGTTCTCGCCAGTTGGGCAAGGACAGCAAGCACCACAGCAGTTTGTGCAAATTGACATGACACAGATGCAGTTGCTTATGGCACAGATGGTTGAGACGGCGCAAGCAGCCTCGCAGGCTGCTCAGGCAGCCGTTGCAAGGCCTTCGAGCAATTTGACTTCGGGATTTTCTGATGCGAATAGGATTCTTAATCGCCCTTCGGAATTTGGGTCTGGGGTTCACGACAGCGACCTTGCAAATTGGTCTGAATGGAGCCACTCATTCAGAACGTGGCTGGTTTTCGCTGAAAGCCAGTTCGAACAGGACCTTAAGCTTGTGGAGGACAACTTGCAGGGCCCTGTTGATCTGACTGGGGCTTCGCCTGATCGCATTGCAAGGTCTCAGAGGCTTTACGCGATCCTTGCAAGCCTTCTGCGTTCGAAGCCAAAAGCGATCTTGCGTCAGGTCGTCAACAGAAACGGCCTAGAAGTCTGGCGCATTCTCACCAACACTTACGCGCCCAAATCAAAATTCCGTGGACTTGCACTTTTGAATGCACTTATGACCCTTCCGAGCTTCGGGAAAGATCGAAGCTTGCGAGAACACATCCAAGGACTTGAGAGAATCGCTGAAGAATATCAAAGGGTCACTGGACATTATCCTGGAGAAGAGGTTATGCTAGGCACACTAGTTCGGTCCCTTCCCTCTGCGATAAAACAACACGTTCAACTTCAGATGACAGACTCCAGTAGTTACCAAAGCATCAGGGACTACGTTCTGGGGTATGAAGTTACGACAACGTCTTGGACTCCAGCCAAAATGCACCAAGCTCTTGGTGTAGTGCCTTTACCCAGTGCTGTCGAGCAAGGCCCAGTCCCGATGGAGGTCGATGCACTTCAAAGAAAGGGGCCAAAAGGCAAAGGCAAGAAGGGCAAAGAGCAGAAAGGCAAAGGTGGACAGCAACCGCAGTATCCGTATGGTGGCAAGGGCAAGGCCAAAGAAGGCAAGCAAAAGGGCAAGAAGGGCAAGGAGCACAAAGGCAAAGGTGGACAGCAGCCGCAGAATCCTGGTGCCAAGGGCTCTAGGGCAAATGTAGTGTGCCACAATTGCCAGCGCAAGGGTCATTATGCTAGTGAGTGCTGGCGTCCACGTGTGCAGCAAGTCCAGGCACAGGGTTCGGACACCGCGTCCACTGTTGCGCCTAGCACTGTTGGTCCTTCAGCATCGCAAGTCGCTGGCAGCGCTGCTACCACCACGAAGCGCCACCACGAAGCGCGTTGCTAGAGTTGAGATAGACATGACTTCCAGTGCGTTTCAGGACGATGCAGAGATCAGCGGTCACTTGTGTGTTTTGACAAAGGTGTGTCCTGAGGACCCAGGTGCAGCTACTGCCCAGCCGAGTTTTGCTTCACTGTGCAAGTCTTTGGCGTCTGCATGCGTTGACCCTGTGAAGCCACATGTTCTTGTGCCAGTGCCTGAGGCTGAAGTGTTTGACGTGTCATATTCGGACAGCGACTGTGTCTGGACAATGCCAGATGAGATGCATGGAGCCAGATGTGTTGGTTGGTTGAGCAGTGCACGGGATTCTGAGTATGCGAAGTGCAAGGCGCCAGCCCGCAACCGTGCAAGGTCAGGTAGGCGATCACGACCGCCACTGCAGTGCGAGCCAATGTTGCATGCATGCGAAGCCGCTGCCGAGCACCTTGTGACCCCACCTGTGCATCCCCTTCAGAACCTCAGTGTGTGTGCAGTGTCGTGGGCAGACATGAGCAACGAGATTGAGGTTGTGGTCGACTCTGGGTCAGATGCCTCATGCTTGCCGCTGTCCTGGGCACACGTCGGAAGGGCTGATGGAGCGAGCCTTGATAGTTTCAGGGATGCCCAGGGTCGCATGATCAGGGGTTCGCAAATGCGTACGGCAGTGCTTCAGATTGATGGTGTTCAATTCAAGGAGCGATGGCTGTTGAGCAGTGTGACACAGCCGCTTTTCAGTGTCGGCAAGTTGCTCAGGCGGGGATGGGACATCATCCACAGTGACGGTGTTCCTTACTTGACAAATCCTGGGGGCACAGTGCGCGTGCCTATGCACTACCGGCACAATTCCTTGCATGCGCGAGGCTCCATCATGAGCGTGGTAGTGTGTGCCAACGACTGTTTGAACGATGACAGAGAGGACGATGCGGCCCGATACCACGAGCCCCAGGAAGCCGAGCTTGATGATGAGCAGGTGCGCGGCAACGACCAGCAGGTCGAGGTGCCCCGGAGTGCTGAATCAGACAGCCCTGTTGCAGCTGCGGTGCGTGCGCTTAAGCTTGGCAGTGCATGGCTGAACCTGGGTAGCCAATACACCGAGATGCAGCCTGGAATCTTTGCTAGGCAAGATCAGTCGGATCGGTTTCTTGATGTGTCAGTGCCGTTGAGCCACCATGGAGTGGGCTTCCGCACGACCCTTCAGTATGATGGTGCCGAATGGAAACTGATTGAAATCAACTGCTTGATCAGCCTCTTCGATGATTTTGAGAAGGAGTTTGAGCCGAAAGGATCACGCCACATCATCACCATTGGCTCTGTTGACCCCTTGCAAGTAGAAAAGCTGTTTGATCATCAGCCTGTAGCGTGGAACGATGAGAGTTATGACGGCGAGTATGCTGATGCACCGCCCGATGAAAACATGCTTGAAGAGGATGAAAAGGCTGAAGATGTTGATGAAGGTGCCGGTGTAGGACCCGTGTCCCTCGCCGAAGTTCCTTCGCAGGGTCATGTTGTGGTCAATGGGGTTGAACTGCATCCCGGGTGTACCCTTAAGACCCTAAGGTCGGCCTGTGAGGTTCTTGGAATAGGCAAGTCCGGAGGAAAGCAGACGGTCTTTGCGAGGATCGAGCAACACTTGAAAACCCAGGAGTTGCTGCAACAACATGCTTTCCAGACTGATGGTGTGCCATTGCCGCTTGAACAAAAGTTTGTCGAAGAGCCAACTGCAGAGCAGAAGCGACGGCACGAGCTCAGTCATGTGCCGTATGCCGATTGGTGCCCACACTGTGTAAAGTTCCGCGCCAAAGCCGACAAACATGTGTCGAGCAAACTTGAGCTGCGGGACGATTCGGTGTGCAGCTTCGATTTTGCTTATACAGGACGGAGCAGCCCAGCTGAGTTTGAAGGTGCGTCAAAGGACAAGCTTGTTTGCCTTGTGATCAAGGACTCCCACACTGGAGCGATGCATGCTGTGCCAACGCCAGCCAAGGGCGGACCGGTTGCTTTCAAGTATCTTGTTGCCGAAGTTTGTCGGTTCTTGAATTACTGTGGGCATGAGTCCGTCACGATCAGGTCTGACGGTGAGCCAGCTTGCTTAGCACTCCAGCAGGGCATTAAAGCTTTTAGAACCAAGATGGGGTTACGCACCCACTTGGAACAGACCGAGCCAGGTGACCACCAGTCAAATCCGTCTGAACAGGCCATTGATAGCATCCGGCAGCTTGCAGGATGCATTCTTGACCAGTTTGAGGAGCGTGCCCAGACAACTGTAGGTGCAATGCACCCGCTGCACGGCTATGCTTGGAGACACGCGGCATGGCTTCACATGCGAATGTCGCGGCACAACGATCTCAGTGCGTTTCAAGTGATCAATGGCCGGCCGTATGCAGGGAAACTCGTTTGCTTCGGGGAAAATGTTTACGCGAGAGTCAAGAGCAGTGTAAAAGGAAAAGCACGCTGGTGCAAAATGCTTTGGCTTGGAAAACTTCCTGTATCGGACCTGCACTTTGGAGTCACCGAGGGAGGATTCATGCTGTCCTCAAGGTCCGTTAGACGGTTGCCAAAGCAATATGATTCATCCTTGTGCGCCAAGCTGCGCGACATGCCTTGGAGCCAAGCGTCTTTTCTTGCAGGCCAAGTTGGTCAAGCACGCAAGCAGAAAACGCTTGAGAGTGATGAGGGTGCCGGAACCGAGCCTCAGGTTGAGCAGCAAGCCGAAGTGCCTTCGCAAGCAGGTGCGGCGGAGAATCCTTTGCCGTTTCCGGGTCATCTGTTGCCCGACGATGCAATGCTGCAAGAGTTTGTGCCACCGCTGCCCCGAGAGCCAGTGTTGCATTCACCTGAGCCGCCCACGCCTGTAGCGGCCACTCCAGGGCAGCAAGCAGAAACGCCGATGCAAGTTGAAACGGCCTCGCCACTTGTGTCGTTCGATGATGGGCCTGGGATTGCTTCTTCGTCCTCTGGGATAGCACGTCCTGCGACTGAGGAAGCAGGCGGGGAAGCTCCAGCCCGAAAGAAACTTCGTCTTGATGCTGTTCAGACAAGTGCATATGACTGTGAGATGTTCCATCATGATGAGGCTCCAGAGCTTCTTGATGAAAGTGCAGAGCAGTTTCTTGACTGTCAGGATGAGTCCATTTGGGACACCGATGATTGGGCTGATGACTCAGCCAATGCACCTGACATCCCGAGTATTTTGATTAAGCCTTTCAGTGAAACTGAGCCAGTGTGCGATGCATCCGAGCTTGAAGCCATTGATGCTGCAGCAGATTCCTTTGAGCTTGAGCGGTTGACAAAGGTCGGTGTTCTTGAACAAAGTGAGTCCTGGCTTGAAGGGCATCGGACATTGTCTTCAAAGTACGTTCGCACCTGGAGGCCCAAAGTGATCAATCAGGAGCGCGTTTGGTTGCGCAGAGCCAGGTTGGTTGCGCGCGAATTTGCGCACCTAGATCCGGGCAGGCAACACTTGTTTGCACCGACGACGACCCAGTGCATGCTGAGAATTGTTCCATCGCTTTTCATTCGCAACTTTGGGGACGGTTGGTCTCTACTGAGTCTTGATGTGTCTGACGCTTTCTTGCAGTGCAAGCAACAGCATGATACCTTGACAAAAGTTGATGGAAAATGGTATAAACTTTTCCGAATGCTGCCTGGGCAACGGGACGGATCTGCTACCTGGTTTCAAGATTTTATGTGTGAGATCCGCGCAGCTGTTGCTGCCGAGCCATTGGCAGAGCAGCCAGTGTTGTTTCGCATCCCACATGCGGAAGGCAACCACAAGTGCCAAGGAGGTGGAATGGTGCATGTAGACGACATGCTTGCGGCAGGATTGACCGCACGCCTTCAGGAGCTTGAGAATCACTTGAAGTCAAAGTTCAAAGTGTCCAGTGAATGGATTCGCCAAGTAGGTGACGAGGTTTCCTTCTTGAAGCGGCGACTGATCCTAGTCAGCCCCAATTTGCTGGTTGTTGAGCCTGATATCAAATATCTTGAGAAACTCTTGAAGATCACTGGACTAGATGGTGCCAAGGAGCGGTACAAGGCGGCCCCGTTCCCGACTGGAGGCCTGCCGACAGACCTTTCATCGGACCGCGAGCTGAACTCAGAGTCAGCATCAAAGTATCGCTCAGCACTTGGTATCCTAATGTACCTTGCTTCCGACCTGTTAGCGTGTCAATTTGGGATTCGGTTCTTGTCCACACATGCTCACAAGCCTACCGAAGGCTGCTGGAAGCTACTGAGGCATCTGACTGCCTATGTGAATTGCCATAAGTCACATGTGCTTGGTTTAGCAAAACCCCAGCTTGGGCAAGGACTGATCTGCAATCGCGTGTCTGAGCAGAAAACTTCTACCCTTGAAATGTTCTCAGACAGTGACTGGTCCGGGGATAAGAAGACGCGCAAGTCCGTATCTGCATGTTGCATTCTTTGGGACGGGCAGCTGCTCCACTCGAGTAGCCAAACACAGAAAGTGATCAGTCTTTCTTCGTGCGAGGCTGAGTACAACTCCCTGGTTGCTGGTGCGGCAACTGCCATCCTCCTTAAGAATTGCGTCATACACTTGTGCCCGGAACTGCATATTGCACTAACATGCTTGTGTGACAATGCAGCAGCTAGGTCGCTTGGGAATCGCCAAGGAGTCGGACGGACTCGCCACATCGACGGAAAGCTGTTGTGGCTTCAGCAGATGACTCAAGAAAAGATGCTGGACATTTCGCCGGTTGGAACCGCGGAGAATGTTGGTGACCTTCCCACGAAGCCGCTAAAGCCGGAGAGAGTTGAGTTCATCCTTGCACGGTTGAATGTTCGTGACAAGGATTGCGGCTATGCCTTGGTTGGGAACGCCCATTTGCTTGATCACAGGACGCGACATCATGTGAGTCGCATTGTGAAGCGAGGAGCAGTCAACCCACAGCTTGTGCTTCAGATCCTTGCATTGGCTTTGCAAGCAGATTCTGTCGCCAGTGCCGATGATGAGCCCAATACGCATCGCGATGACGCCTTGAGCCAGGGGACTGGCGAGCACGGTTACGGGGAGATGTTTTGGAATTTTCTTGAACAGTTGCTGTATGCGATTTTCTTGATTGCTGATTTCCTTGCAGAGCATCCCATGCCGAGTTTTATCGTGAGCCAATGCGTTATCATTGCAGTGCTGTGTGGTATCTTCTTGTGCCGTGGAAACAGGCCAGAAAGGTTGCATGAGAAGGCAAGTGAGGCAGCTGCGTGCAGCGATGGCAGCGCGCCGCAGGTGATGCCGGGTGTGTGCGTCAATGTGACGGTCGAGGGAGCCAAAGTTTCGGTTGATAGTGTAGTCCCGAAACCTGCCGAAAGCCCTAATCCTTGCGCCTTGGCCAGCCCTAAGAGTAGTGCCGGGCCGTGCAGTGCGAGTGTGCTTGAACAGAGCAGCGGCCGAGCTGCTGATGACCATGATGCTCCCGACCCGACAGCGCGATCATGCAATGGACCTGCGGTGCAGCCAAAAGCGCCGGTGCAGCCGAAAGCACCGAACCCAGCAGTCGCATATGCATCTGTACTTGACCAGCGTATCAGAGATGAGCTTGATCAGCAGATAGTGTGGGTGACTAAGTCGCGTGGTTATGCATACCATGGCCGCCGGAGTTGCGGCAACTTGCATAATGCCAAAGCACTTGAGCGCCTTACGCGTGGAGAGGCAGTGCGCCGAGGCCTTAAGCCATGCAAAGCTTGCTACGGTGGCTGACTTGTTATAATGCTCTTGATGCGCCAATCCTTGAGTGCGCTGCTTCGGGCAGTGCACTGATCGGTTGGATTCTTGTACAAAGGCTGCTGGCGACGACGATTGTACATAGTCTTGTGTTTGAGCAAAACATGACAGGACTTCGAAACAGCATTTTGCTGTCAATCTAGATTCACGTACGAACTACTTTGGCAGCTGTGGAGCAGCTGCGAGTCCGAAGGAGTAGGCTCACGAGCCACTCGATGCAATTAGGCATCTCAATCCTTGTGCTGATCCCTTAGGATGCTTCAACGTGGCGTGGCAGCTGCGAGCTGCACTGATGCCACATGCGCCTACGCTTGGGTGAGTCAAGCTATCGTCTCGTGGGCGACGCACGCCCTCAGAGACGGTGTAACCTAGTCGTAGATGTACAGTTCTACGTAGTCGAACAACGTATCGAGCCAACGACCTTTTGGGGCAGTGCTCATGAAAAGTAGCCTGTGAGTCGAGTGCTATCTTGAACTAAGCAAGCTGTTGTTTCGTACGGGGTGAGGCAAACTAGATTATGCCGAAGACTTCAACCCACGAGCTCAATGAAGCTTCGTAGGCGGGGTGTTTATTATTTTGCCTCCTAGGAAACCCCATGCATTTTATCATGATTTGCTTTATCGTATTTCATGCACTCATGTGTTTCACATCGTGATTGCGCTATACTCCGCAGGCGTCTTTGAGGATTCAAAACATTTTCAAGAGCGCATACAGGCAAATGTTTGTGTCTCCGGACGACCTCAAGGAAGCTTACATTGCATACTTCAGCCACCGCGAACGCAAAGTGATCGTACGGCAAATGCTTGCGCTCCCATTCGGGGCGACCAGAGCGGTGTTCTCTTATTTGAGAGTGGCGCACTCTATGTGGTACATTGGGTGCTGGGCACTGAAGCTGATTTGGTCACATTTCTTCGACGACTTTCTGAGTCTGGCGACTCAGATCGAGGCCAAAGCAGTTGACCTGGCAATATCATCATTGTTCAGGTTGCTAGGGTGGAAAGTCTCGGAGGACAAAGACAAGCCCTTTGCTGAGAGTTTTGCTGCGCTTGGGGTACGGGTTAGCTTGGAACGATTTTTGCAAGGGGAAGTCCTGTTCCATAACACGGACAAGCGCATCTTGGAGGTCTCGGCCACGCTGCGCCATGCTGCTGATGATCCGGCTCTCACCCAGAAGGACCTGTCGCGCATTCGGGGTCGCATGGTCTTCGCAGGGGGCCAGCTCTTCGGAAGAGCCGGCCGGCTATGCGTGGCCGCCCTAGCTGGTGAAGGTTGCTCGACCAAGGCGAACCTTAGCAACGACGCAAAGCAAGCCATGCTTCAGTTTGCCGACCTGCTTGAAGCCAATTGGCCACGCGTGCTGAGAGATGTGTCGGCAGATCCAGTGTATATCTTCACTGATGCCTCGTATTCCGAGGTGAGTGGAGGTACTTTCTGCGGCATAGGCGGAGTCTGCTTTGACCACAAAGGTCATCCCCTTGGATTTTTCTCCGAAGAATTGTCCTGTTTCCAGAAGCGCCTACTAGGAGAGGGCAGGTCCAAGACCATCATCTTCGAGGCGGAACTTGCAACAATCGTAATCGCTTATGTCTTATGGAAAGATTGGCTTAGGGGAAAACCTGCTGTGATTTTTGTGGACAATAACTCCGCTAGAGACGTGTCAATCAGTGGCACATCACGGAATGATGTAGGCAAATCGCTTGCATCACTTCTCTTAACAGTGGAATCCTTAGCCAAAACTTTTTCGTGGTTCGCTCGCGTTCCGTCACCAGCGAATATCGCAGACACGCCTTCGCGTGAAGTGCTGAAAAGCTTCACCGTGTCAGGCCGCCCCGCCCCTCACTTCCCGTGCGAGGACATCGTGTCCGAAGTCTTGGGCATCTTAGTCAAATAATACAACGGTTAAGAAGGGGAAAATTCTTGATTTCGGTTTACACATCCTTTTGCAGGCGATGTTTGTTCCGCCAGGCGATGACGTTCCGCCATCTGTAGCTGCAGGTTTGAGGCTAAATGCCTCATGGCACCAAGGTATCCCTTGTCACCGCTGGTGAAAAACGACAGAAGCTTTCAGGAGTGCTGTGTGTGTCGTGTCTCTCTTGAGTGTGAGCGTCGCAAGCCAAGCCACTAAGCCTTCAAGTGCGACCCCTAAATCGGCAGCCGTTTATGCTCAAGATATTAAGGAGGCCGTCAGTGCGAGCGCTGATAGTCCCTTAATATCTTGAGCGTGAATTTTCTTGAAAAATCGGGCCTGGATTTTTAAAGAAAATGGCTGCCAAAAGTTTTCTGTAGTGTGAGCGCCAAGTGTTGCTATATTGCATCCTCTTGTCACCCGCGCTCGTCATCTCAAGGTATCTCAAAGCCGGTTTTGCACAAACGTCAGTGACACTATGCTGGACTTCACTGAACAAGCCACAAGTCTTGCACATGTAAGGTTGCAGAAATTTTTCTTTCCCCGCCCACCCACACCAATTGCATCTCAGACCTTGCGGCGAGTGACGCCCCTGCAGCCGAGTGCCGCGTGCGTGAATCCAATCCCTTTGCACACCCCTGCCGATCCGGTCAGCGCGACCGCGAGTGCTTCGCTCATAATGCGTTCTCGGGGAAAATTCTTGATTTCGGTTTACACATCCTTTTGCAGGCGATGTTTGTTCCGCCAGGCGATGACGTTCCGCCATCTGTAGCTGCAGGTTTGAGGCTAAATGCCTCATGGCACCAAGGTACCCCTTGTCACCGCTGGTGAAAAACGACAGAAGCTTTCAGGAGTGCTGTGTGTGTCGTGTCTCTCTTGAGTGTGAGCGTCGCAAGCCAAGCCACTAAGCCTTCAAGTGCGACCCCTAAATCGGCAGCCGTTTATGCTCAAGATATTAATTAAAATAGGGCTCAGTGGTTCGCCACCGTGACCCAGAGTTCTGGCTGTTTTCTCTCGAGCAAAAAGCCCGCCTCTTGCTCGGTTTGCTGCTCGCATTGCTCTTACCCCGTGTGCTTGTATGCCACTGGGGCTCAGACCTGCGGCGACATACGTCGCTAGCACCCTCACTTTGTGTCTTGCGGCCGCTCTCCTTCCGCTCTGGTACCGAGATGGCGGCCCCGGCGACCTCTGTCACTTCGACTTGTCGGCGGACCCAGAGTTTCAGCTCACCCCGGGCGACACCGACATAATTCTCATGGCGGCGGTGGGCATGCGGGCCAATCTGGTCGTGATCGAACTACACCATAACTGGCAGGAGGTGGGACACGAGACCGTGAGGGTGTGGTTTAAGCAGGTTGCCAGCGTGGTGGAGCAAATTGCACATCACCGCGACTGGGACGCCAGTGGCCGGCAGGGCTACCAAACCTTCTACTTGGGGTGACATGTCTTTAATGATGGTCTGTGGTGCTGGTCTGGACAAACCGGGCTCAGTGTCCAGACTTCCCCTTGGGTTTTTTTAACAGTCATGTGAACGTATTGTGAATCATGGCTCTACAGGTCACCCGCATTGAGTAAGGACTGCAGGGCTCAAAAGGACATGAGTTTGGGGGGGGTTCGCGAGTGCTTGTCCTGGCTGCAACGGTGAACAGCCGCTTTGGCCTGCTCGTGGCTCAGGCGGCGACATACGTTGCCGGCCAGGTGATGGGATGAAATGATCTCCGGTGGTAGTATGCGCCATGGCGGTCAAATTGTTCCACACGCGCCCCGTGGTCAGCGGCGTGGGCACAGAAATCCATCGACCCATCTCTCTAGCTTTGGCTTCCATTCAGCATGCGATCTCGGGGATGGAGCACTTACACCTTCAAATGTATGAGGGATACCTGTTGGTGCAGGTGCTTCCAGGCTTCGCGGACGCGCCCGACTTCACTGAACACCCGGCGTCTTGGCGCTTCATGCAGCAAGGGGACCCACTGCAAACGGACGACTCTCCTTTTTCCATTGCGGGCTACCTTGTGCTGATTGCGGAGGCCTTCGACTTTATGGCACTATGTGGCAGTTTACCGGTGATTGTTTGTTCGCACGATCGCAGGGTAGGGCGCAGCTTTGTGGGCCTTCTGGTCAGCCGATTGAGTGTTCGGTCAGGAGGGACGCGACGTGCCCCGATTGAGGAGGGCAGCGACGCCACAAGCTCGATCTTTGGCTTCCAGGAGCTGCCGATCAGCGAGGCCCTGCTCCCCTTCGCCCAAATCCCAGCAGTCCTTCGCGAGTACGAACCAGCCGTGCCGGTTAACCTGGGTTTGCTCGCCCGATATGCTGTGTGGCTGTGTACATCCCCCCTGTCTTAATAAATGCAGGATAGGGGGGGGGTACATAAATGCAGAAGGTGTTTTCTACATTATCAGGTCTGGGGGTTGGGCAGGGGGGGTCAAGGGGTTTAGGGTATTGGAGCAGAAAGCCATGATAAGCCATGCAGGGTCCGGCGGGTGGGGGTTCGGTTGGAATTTGGGCAGACGCATGCAAGAGGCAAAGGGTACAGCAGAGAGAGTGAGAGAGAAAGAGAGAGAGAGAGAGAGAGAGAGAGAGAGAGAGAGAAAGAAAGAAACAGAGAGCGAGAGAGAGGGAGAGAGAGAGAGAGAGAGAGAGAGAGAGAGAGAGAGAGAGAGAGAGAGAGAGAGAGAGAGAGAGAGAGGGAGAGAGAGGGAGAGAAACAGAGCGCCGTAGCAGCACCTAGCAGCGCACCCCAGCAGGGCCGGGGGGGGGGGGAACGGGTTCCGAGATCCCCCGAGGTAGGTCTACAAGAACTCTGAACCCACCAGAAGTAGGGTTTCGGGGTTTAGGGTTTAGCGTTGAGGAGCTTAGGGTTCAGGGTGTAGGGTTTCGGGCTTTAGGGTTTAGCGTTGAGGAGCTTAGGGTTCAGGGTGTAGGGTTTCGGGCTTTAGGGTTTAGGATTGAGGAGTTTAGGGTTCAGGGTGTAGGGTTTTGGGCTTTAGGGTTTAGGGTTGAGGAGTTTAGGGTTCAGGGTGTAGGGTTTCGGGGTTTTGGGTTTATAGGGTTGAGGACGAGCGTAAGCAACCTGCACCCGCCAGAGACGAGCATCATGAGCATCAGCCGGGCCTGGGCTGGAATAGAAAATCCTACATTTACAGATCACATGGCCCGAGGGGTGTGGAAAATGTAGTCTGCATTTTCCTCCCCCCCATGGTTAAGTCAGGGGGGATCTGTGTACTGACCCCGCTGTCGTGCATTGCCACACCTTGTGGCTCTTCACGGACACCGACTCACTGGAGGAGTATGACCACACACGCCACACTCTGCCTCATATTCTTAACCGATGCTGCTGGACTGGTCGACATGATGAACGGCACGCCTGTGTCTTCTTCCCGCTACGGCAAGAAACAGGCTTGCATAGGGCGGTGGTTTGGTGGGGCAAGGTCTACGCACTATGGGTGCTCAAAGCCTTGCTCCCGGGCAAACATATCATCCTATCGGACCACGATGCTGCCCCGACTGCGCTGTTCGAGGTTGCTGAGTTGCAGGATCTGTGCCTGGATACGCAGGATATACAGGCCTCCTCAGGTGTTGGAATGCCTGCCCTGGACGATACTGTCTGGTCCTTTGCGCCCACCGTGCCTGCCCAAGGCAGCCCTTGCTGTCGGCGCTCGCGTGAATCCGTTGGTGTCATCTTTGTCACCGAGCCTTCCACGGATGCCCAGGGAGGGTTCTCTGTCTTTGCTAAGGAGCCAGGCCGACTTCATACGGAAGTTGGCATTTTGCCGCAACACATGCGCGGTCCAGGGTCTTGGCAGGCCTTTGTGGACGCTTGTGGTGGCGAAGGAGGCGGGAGCACCATTGGGGACTCGCAACTCTGCCGCCGGTATGGACTGTCCCCGACGGTGTTGGCGGAGTGGGCCGCGGAGATTGTCCCACTCCTGCTGTCGAAGCTTGCGCACCTGGTGACGCTGCCACGTCCCAGACCCCGTGAGCGTCGGACGGCCGAGCTCTTAGCAGGTACTCCACTCTTTGGCGCGCAGGCCAGACACAGCGGAGATGTTGTCACTGCTTGGGCGTACCTGGGGGCGGTCTTGCAGCTGCCCTACTGGCACCCAAATGCCCAGGGTTGCTTCAGCGCGAGCATGAAGACCCCCAATCCGGATGACTCACTACGGGAAGTCTTACAGCCGCATGATGAAGCCTTGGGATGGGCGGGGCCCATGAACAGTGTGCTAATTCCACTCTTTTTGCCTTGAGCTCGAGCCACTGCAGGGTGTGCAGCCTGCCGGGGCCCTACCTCTTCATGGCCAAAACGCTTCCCCCGATCGTAAATGTGTTGGCCGGGCATTTGTGCACGGCTATGGAGCCAACGGCAAGGCCCCGCTGGCACAGCTGGAGAGACACTCTGGAGGTGCTGATGGGGGCACCGGGCTTCAGCGTGGTGGCCCCTGAGCACTTTCCTGGGCCGGGGGCGCCGGGTCCTCCCATGCGGTCTCGCTTCTCACCTCACATGCGCACATGGGCGTCTACCGAGCTCATGTGCTCCACCCATGCTCCAAGCTGTCGGCGACGGCTTCGGCGCGGCTCAGTGCTACGGGCCGATATACCAGCCTCCTGCTTTCCCCCCTTCCGGTTATCCAGTTAGCCCACGCAATGTTGGGGGTGCGGTTCTCTGCGACCAGTCCGGAAGCCCGAACCATTGACGTGCAGCTCCAGCGGGCACGCCGCAGCTCTCACTTGCAGAATCCACACTCTGCGTGTCTGGCGGCCTTGTGCATTGCCTTCTCGAGCATCGGCCCCGCGCGGCCTACCGTCCGTGGCTTTTCGGCAGGCAGCTACACGGCAGGCCTGGTGGGAGTGCTTCTTCGCAAATTATGGGGCGACAACCACTTCCCACCAGTGGTTCTGCCCGCCGTCTCCGGTGGCGTGGCGGCTGATATTGCGACGCCAGCAGCCGTGGAGATTGGGGCCGTTGGCATGCCAGATTGGCTCTT